CCTCTCAGAGTCCCCACCCCACTACTGGTCATTCACCTCCTCTAGGCTGAAGAATGTCTTGAGTTCAGTCCTTGACATCAACTCAGGCCCTTGCCCAGAAGGCTTCTAGTTTCTATGGAAATTGGCCCATGCAAATAGCTATGGGGGGAGCATCACCCTGGTCCCACCTTCCTGTGGTGTCCAGACCTCCTCCACCCCTGGATGGGGGGGTGGGGCCCTGCCAGCTCAGTGGGGCTGATGAAAACCTCTGATCCCGTCACCCGGCCCTGACCTTCCTCACTGGGGACTCAGCCACACCTGCTCCAGGCTGCCCTGACTTGACTTCTAGGTTGGCCGCCAATGTGACCTTGGGTCATTCCTGTGACCTTGGAGCAGTCCTTGGGCCCCCGTGAGCATCATGTTTCTTCATCTGTCTCGTGGCGTGGGGGTGGGGGGATGCTACTAGTTCATTTCTGGGGAAGTCTGAGGTGCCAGCCCTGTAATTCCTGCCTTAGCTCTGCTCTCAACCTGCCTGTGGCTCCCCATTGCCCTCTCTGTAAAACCAAACTGTCCTCCAGGCCCTACCCACCTCCCACCCGCATCTTCCCCATGCTCCCATTTAATCACAGTTTCAGTCACTCCAGCCTCCCCACCTCAGGGCCTTTGCACATGTACGCTGCATGGAGCATCCTTCCCCAGCCCTCCCTGTGGCCAGCTCCTTCCAGCTCCTTCCTGGCACCAGGTTCCAGATCACACATTGCCTTCTCAGAGATTCCCTATTGTTCCCCTGCCATGGCACACGACCCCCCCCCCACTCCCCTGGCCAATCACCACTTGTGCTATGTCCTTGACCTCTGACCCCATCTAAGGTCACCTCACTTGTGGGCTTTTCTCCTTTGTCTGCCCCTCCCCCCCATCCATGAGCTCCATATGGGCAGGCTTCTGGGTCCCCGCTCTGCTCTAGTTTCCCATAAATGTTTTTGAATGTACACCTGAATAAATTAATAGGTACGCAGGGTGGTTGGAGGGAAGACCTCTGCCCCTGCAGCCCCAGTGCCCTCCCCTGGGCTTTCAGCCAGCCTTCCTACAGCTGCAGGCTTCTTCCAGGAGGGGTGGCTCCTGCTTATCAGTCCTCCCCACCTTGCCTGAGGGCGTCTTCAGCGGGTGTGGGTCACGGCCTGTTTGGACATCCCCAGGCTGGGTGAGGCCCCGCCTCCAGCTGAAGACCCCACATTTCACTGAGGTCTGCCAGGCCTGTGTTCCAGTCCCTCCTCTGCCACCTCAGGTGAGCCTCTGCCTCCTCACCTGGAAATGAGCTAAGTGTGTCACTGCACAGGGCCACAGCAAGGCCTGGTTCAGGGGGTGCCTGGCACAGAGCACTCTTTTTGTTTTGTTTTTGTTTTTGTTTTTTGCGGTACGCGGGCCTCTCACTGTTGTGGCCTCTCCTGCTGCGGAGCACAGGCTCCGGACGCGCAGGCTCAGCGGCCATGGCTCATGGGCCCAGCCACTCTGCGGCATGTGGGATCTTCCCGGACCGGGGCTCGAACCCGTGTCCCCTGCATCGGCAGGCGGACTCTCAACCACTGCGCCACCAGGGAAGCCCACAGAGCACTCTTTTAAGGAGTGCTTGCCTTCCTGTCCTTGTTTTTGACACAGAAACATGGGCTAAGGGGGAAACCGCTACAAGGGAGGGGTCAGCACATTCAGTTCTGCCTCTACTGTTGTGTGCTTTTCGAAGAGGGGCCTGACCTCTCTGAGCCTCTGGGAGGCTGAGTGAGGCTGCCTGTGAACCAGTTAGTCTTTTTTTTTTTTTTTTTCCTTGCGTTATGCGGGCCTCTCACTGTTGTGGCCTCTCCCATTTGCGGAGCACAGGCTCCGGACGCGCAGGCTCAGCGGCCATGGCTCACGGGCCCAGCCGCTCCGCGGCATGTGGGATCCTCCCGAAACGGGGCACGAACCCGCGTCTCCCGCATCGGCAGGCGGACTCTCAAGCACTGCGCCACCAGGGAAGCCCGAACCAGTTAGTCTTGACTGTCGTTGCTGTCAAGGATGTGTCCCTCCAGCCAGGGAAGGGCCCAGCATCCTGGGAAAGAAACACTGTTGCTTTTTCACTGTGAACACATTTGAGAGGCAGGGCCTGTGAACCCCATTTTCCAGATGAGAAACAGACTCGTCGGCAATCAAGGGGCCGACGTGGGATGAGAACCTGGCTTGGCCTGCCTCCATGTCCCTCCTCTGTTGCCAGCGTTGCTAACATGACCTTGGGCAAATGGCTCTCTAGCCTCGGTTGATTAAGCCCTGTCACCGTGCCCAGGCCTGGCTCACGGCCGTCGTGTCAGATGATTCCTGGGATTCCTGAGAAGTAGCGGGAACTGGCGGTGCAGAGAGTCAGTGTCCTGCCCAGGGGAAGCCAGGCAGACAGGGAAAAGCTGGGATCCCCTGGGCACCCTCGCCAGGTATAGCCGAGGTGCCCATGATGGGGGGTGTCAGTTGCTGATGCCAAGAAGCACTGCCTGCCATTGTTGGGAGGTGGCAGGGAGGTTGGCCAGCACCAGCTTGCTGATGAGTGAACAGAAGCCAGAGCCCAGCCAGCGCCACTGGCATCAGGAGAGGCAGCCCAGTGCTGGGCCACTGCCTGACACTTGCCTCAGTTGGCACTGTCCCTGGGGGTACTGTGAGACCTTCCAGGAGCTTACTGCCTCCCTCACAGGACCTGGCAGGTGGGTGCTGCAGGTGGGGACTCCTCCAGTATAAATATCTCCCTCTTTGGGTGGCAAACCATGGTCTGTGTCTACATTCCATCAAGTGCTATTTAGAGAGGGAAACAGAGGCCCCGAAAAGAACAGTTTATCCAAGCAACACTCAGCAAGCACTTGCTGTAGACCAACATGTTTGTGGTTTGCTTCCATTCATTTCGTTAATGCTCCCATCAACCCTGGGAGCTACTTGGAGAAACTGAGGCAGGGAGTTTAAGTCACTTGCTGAAGGTCCTGTGGCCAGCTAGTCAGGAAGAGCAGGGATTCAAACCCAGCCCCAGGCCCTTCCAGCAAGAAACAGTGGTTGCATGAAGCTCAGTTTTCCCATAGCAAAGTGGGCACCATCACCCCTATCTGGAAGTCAGGTCATGAGATGGTATTTGAGAAATGCCTGGCTCAGCAAAAACCTGACACCCAGTAGGTGTTCAGCACTCAGCTCCTCCTCTTCTCCAGAGGGCAGAATGGAGACCAGGGCAGGGCCTGGAAGTTGCAGGGAAGCCAACCAAGTTGGGAGATATTTGAGAGGAGGCTCAGGTGGGAATATCCTGGGAATATCAGGAGGCAGATGGTAGCCCCAGGCTAGTGACTCCCACTAGTGAGCCCCCCATTGTTTCCTCACAGGGGCCCTTTGAGAAGTTATAGATTACGCACTTAGCAGGGGGCTTGCACAGCCCTGAAATGTGAGCCATTATTAGGGCCTAGCTCAGCCTTACTCCCTCTCAGGATTCCCTGGTTCTGAACTTGATCTCCACCAACCCCAGCCCACACCTAGAGGAAATAAGAGCCAGTATCTGGGAACATATGTAATCCTCTCTGCCCTAGCACTTGGTGAGTCAGAGAACAGGGTAGGCTTGGGGGATGTGCCAATGACACAGCCTAGCACTGGACAGCAGCTGCCTCCCTATCTGCAAAGAATCCCATGACCCCGCACCTCACAGAAAAGCTGGGGCTCACAGGCCAGATGTGACCTGCAGAGGGTCAAAGCTTTCACCAGAAGGTCAAGGTGAGGGCTGGAATACAAATTCTCCCAGGGGTGAAGCCCCAGAGAGGAAAGATGAAGGTGTAGGAATCATTGTCCCATGAGGAAACTGAGGCTCATAAATTCCTTGCTCAAGGTTATGCAGTCAGACAGTGGCTGGACAAGTATTCAAACCCTAGTCACTCAGGGCCCCAGTGGCTGTGCTCTGACACTGCCTTACCCCTTTTCCAAAAAGCAGGCTACTTTGGGCCTGCTGAACTGCAGTGTGACCCAGGGCAAGG